AAATAAAAAAGAAGGGAAATAATTTTTCATAGCCTTCGAGACGTATTTTAGTTCAGCGGACCATAGTTTAATTCTCGCCAACCACTATGATCCTTAGTGCAGGCCATTACGGCTCTCATTTCTTTCTAAAATACAATTAAATATCATCTTTAGTGAATAGCTCTTACATATCTCTCCTACATACATATCAGTACAGTAAGTTGGTAGGCTAGTAAGTTGATAAGCTGATAAGCTTGTTGCTTCCAATGCATTAAATGCAGTAGTACGCTTTATTTTATTGGTTCTGTCAAAGAGGTAAGAAAAGTTGACTGAAATCGATGTAACATGCAAGTGCTGTTGTCTTGCTTGTTACGCTAGATGAGACAGATGTTTACAACGAATGCTTATAAGTGCCAGCTAATCATCGATCAGTGTGTGCAGTTAGTTTACTCTTTCAGTTACTTATTACTTCGAAATTCGTTCCACTCCTGTATTGATTAATCGCCATTAGACTTCATCGACAATTCGAGAATAGATAGCAAAGGGATTTGATTTAATGTGGTATCATTTTCGAGAAGAATAATAATAATTGGAAATTGGAAAGAGTAATAAAATTGCTGCATATCGAATGTGATAGATTATGAAGGCTCTAATTTTGGTTGGTGGTTATGGTACCCGTTTGCGACCATTGACCTTAACTCAACCGAAACCGCTTATTGAGTTCGCCAATAAACCGATGCTCTTCCATCAGATAGAAGCATTGGTAGCTGCAGGTGTGGATACCGTTATTTTGGCCATTAATTATCGTGCGAAAGCTTTAGAAGAAGAAATAGCAAGTCAGGCTAATTATTGGAATATCACGGTGCATTTCTCGGTGGAAAAAGAACCTCTTGGAACAGCAGGAGCTTTATCTTTAGCAAAAGGTCTGCTCAAAGGCGAGGAACCATTCCTAGTGCTTAATTCTGATATTATATGTGATTTTCCATTCCGACAAATGATCGACTTCCATGTTCATCACCAACACGAAGGTACCATCGCGGTGACCAAAGCTACGGAACCTAGTAAATATGGTGTTTGTATATTCGACGAAAAAACGGGCAAAGTGGATCGATTTGTGGAAAAACCATCGGAATATATGGGTAATAATATAAATGCCGGCTTGTATGTCCTATCACCGAGAGTGCTGAATCGAATACCGTTACGACCTACTTCCATGGAAAAAGAAATTTTTCCCCAAATGGTGAAAGACGGTAACCTCTACACCTATGTTCTCCAGGATTTCTGGATGGATATTGGACAACCACAAGATTTCCTTATTGGTACTCGATTATATCTTCATTTTGTCCGTTCAAAACATCCAGAGATACTTAGCAAAGATCATTGCGTACGAAAAGATGTGATGATACATCATACGGCTCGAATCGGTGAACACTGTATCATTGGGCCAAATGCCGTCATTGGCTCAGGTGTACAAATCCATGATGGAGTTTGCTTGCGAGATTCAACGGTACTATCAAATAGTATCATTCATAGCCATAGTTGGATAAATGGTAGTATCATTGGTAGGAAATGTGTTATTGGAAGTTGGGTTAGAATTGATAATACTTGTATTATTGGGGACGATGTCATTGTAGAAGATGAACTGTACCTGAACGGCGCCCGAGTTTTACCCCATAAAGCTATTTCGGCAAGTGTATTGGAACCTGATATTATTATGTAAATCCTCTCTATCCTTTCTCTAATAAGTAACAGACACAAAATGTTACAGTATCCTACTCCAATTCCACTCATTTTTTATTGTTGAGTTCTATAATGACGATATAATAGATCCCGTGTATTTGCTTCAAACCACTTTTACAAATGTAATACATATTTCCTAACGGATTTATGCCTTAAGTTCTGATATTAATACTAAGCTATTAGTCGTTAGTTGGTTTCCTACTTGTACAGGAAATGATTTCTCTTCAAATAAAATATATATGAAATTCGATTGAATTTTTCGTCAATTTTTTGAAATTTGTTAACTTTTTACAAAGGTCTTTAAAATTAGTAGGATTAAATTTATATTCACATGTATCAGAAAATTGAAAATACCGAAATTATCCAATGCTTCAAAATGAATTTATCAAACTCTATGGCAATAGCATATTTTTCATACGCTAATACTAATAATTATGCATAAAGTTTTGTTATACAGAATCATCAAAATAATTCTTTAAAATGAATTTACTTTAAAATATATACGCTAGTAAACGTGTTGAATAAAATGCCATGAAAATAGGAAATTTCATTTAAAGTAACACAAATCTCAACTATTCATATCATCTAATCTCTTCAACATCAAAAATTCGATTTTGCTGGAAATTTTTTGCAATCATAAAAATAGAAGAGAATGTGTCAAATAAGCAAGCGTAACTACTAAAATCTTCATGATCTCTTGGGCATCAGTACTATGATACTAATGGTTTAACAAAAATTCAAACTTCCATTTCAGCAGAAACAGAATCATCTTATTTTTCAGCTTAATTCCTACACCGTTTTGGTGATATAAAGCATAGGCCGATTAACTAAATGATAAATCTAAATACTCCCTGTAAAAGGGTTTATAAAAAGGCTTATATCAAGTTGCTTATTTCTTCACTTATTATTTTTATTTTGTCTCCACCTGCTCATTTTCATAACAGATTCTCAATTTTTTGTCATAAACTCAGTTGGAAAGGATTGCATTCCAAAGTACTTTCCCCATACATTTGATGTAAAAGTATCTAATATAAATAAAAATGTAAATTCGTTCTTCCAAGGACTTAAATCTCCCAAAATTCTTCACCAACTGCTTTGAAATTTTTCAAATTTTCAAAAAAGAAAATTGCATTCAAATACGCGCGTGTTTTTATGTACCTATTATATTGATGTTGCACCTGTGACAGATAGAAGCATGCTTTTTTGGATAGATTAGATAGATAGATAAAGAAGAGGAGCTTTGATAAGCTCCACCACGGTGTCATAGAGCTCTTGTGCGCTTTTGTTTGAATATTGTCGACATTGTAAATATATGTAGGTCAAACTCGTATTATAAGATGTTGTAAATCAGCTCATGTTATGACCAAGTTTGGGGCCAATGTTGGCACATTCTAAAGAACCTCAGGTTATATTGGAGTCAATCGGTTTGATCTCATGGATTGTTGTAAACAAGCTCTCTCCTATATAAGCTCTAAAACCGGAAGGCCAGATAGTTTAACACAGTCTTCTTCCGATCCTGCTCACCTTTCAATTGTCACTACCATCACATAATTTAATTGTCTGAATTATACCTAAAAAACAAATAAACCCTTCTACTAATGGACTGCTTACAGTGTACAAATGAATCTTGTTTTATCGATAATTTATGGTGAGTTTTGATGTATTTCTTGAAAACTATTCACGAATATTGTTTATTTTTTCCTTTTTCCATTGCTTTTCATTTTGTTTTTTAAACTATTTTTTCACTTCAATCTATATCTTATATTCTTCTTTATCATATCTTCTTCTTTTGTTTTACTTTTCTTTTCTTTGCAATTTTATATGTTTTTGCTCTAACTTTTCTTTTCTGTGCAATCAATCTGCTTTAATTCATCAAAATAATGCCTTACAGAAGATTAAACTTATGTCATCGTACTGACAGAATGGAAGCAACACGACGTATCAAACTGTGGAAGAATGGGC